AGACCCAACCTTTAAAAATTTTGTTCAGGAAATTCCCAAAACTAGCCATAGCTACCAATACCAACAACTATCAGAGATGATAATTTAACAATCAGCTGCATCTATTAATTAAACTTGTTAAAATGTGGCCACAGTATGAATGTACAGTCTGAGAAGCTTCCAAGTCTCTTCAGTGCTCGTCACAGGTGTGGATGTACTTGCTATGAGTCAGAGACAAAAGACAAAAGAGATTGGAATCCAAGTTGTACTAAGATGAGCTCTCTATTCATGTTTCATGAAAAGTCCTTTAAATAGCTACCGCTGACACATGGAGCATGATTCACTTTTCTTCCTCTGCTTAGGCTCACACCCTGAATAGCACAGGAGAGGAGAGGTAGTGCACACCCCCACTGTACTGCAGAGTTCACGGTATTCCTTATTTCCTTCTGTTATGGGCACATTCACACCGCTCCACCTAACCTGGTAATTAGACCATACCACATAAAACCACACTGTTAGAATTCTCTGTAATAGTTAATGTTGCTCTTTTAAAAAAGTTTTAAGGGTTTTACAAACATTCCATTTATTAATTACTCCATCTCGTGTCAGATTAAAATATTGACAAAGGCACACCCAACACTGGTCTAAGCGGAGGTAGATTTCTTACAAAATTGAAAATTCGAGCACTATATTTTGATATCATGTGAAAATACTTGGATTTTTCATGGTGATGAATAGGTATGAATTTTGTTTGCTTTTTTTTCCCTCTGTATTGTCCACGTTTTCCACAATAAACCTAATTTTCTTATAAATATACAATCATACTAACATTTTTTAAGCAGAAGGGCTTCTCAGTCAATTTAATCCAGTCTTATCAGGACTATATTTTGTACTCCTGGATATTTTGCTTTATTTAGGATACCATAGAGAGGCAGGCACCAATATATTATCCCTGTCATTAAAAATAGCAGAAAAGAAAACTTTTTCTATTTCATTAAGCTCCACAAACATTTAGAAGACCCGTATGCTATATATGTCTTAATATAAAAAAGATGTGGATTGCCATAGTCTACAGAAAATACATGATAAATATATTGACTTTCAAATACCTGAGGGATGACTTGCAGACCAGAATTCAAGCAAGAAAGTTAATATATATTTTCATGATTTAAAAACTTACTTTTGCTAAAATTTCATCCTACATATATTTAGCATAGAGTGGCCTCCTTTGATACTCACAAATTTAATCACATCTCCTATTCTTAAGAAACTATTAGATAGAACCAACTTTGTACCAGTTTTTTAAAAAGGCTATATTCCCAGAAAGAAATGAATTACATAAAGTAGGTCAAACAGTGACGGTCAAGATTTTCTAAATTCTTAATGATCAGGTACAATACAATTTAAATATATTTATTAAAAATACATTTCCAGGAAGTCTAACACATATACCTATTTATGCACAAACTTGGTAAGTATAAAGGAGATATAGAGATTTATGGATTATCTCACAAACTGAGTTATGCATATTTTTATTTTCCCCTCTTCTATCTACAAGGACTTTATGAGTTGATTACTTAAGCTGTTTTCCTTAAAAACTTTACTCAAAATACCTGCTTTAGATTAATGTATTTTAAGCTTGAATTAATTTTCTGCTGTAGCTACAATAAAGAATATTTAAAATTTAAAATGTTCCTTTTTATTTCACTTCTAGACTAAGATGAAATAGATGCACTTCTCCCTATTTTTCTCAAGAAGTACAGCTAAAAGACCTGGACATTATCTTTAAAACAAATGTAAGAAGACTGCAAAGGGGGACAAGAAAGCAGACCACCTGCGGACTTGAGGAACCAAGGAATGACACAGCAGCAAATTTTGTGAGTTTTCTTTTAGCCACCTATATCCCAAACTAGGTACTGGAATGACCAGCAACCAAGAAATTCCAATGGGCACAAACACAAACAGCCCCAAGGAAAGCTATCCCTCTCCATCCAAAGGTCCACAAAAGGGGCAACCTAGCAGAACAGATAACTGGTAGATAATAAGTGCTCTATGAGGGCCAAACCCCACGGAAAAAAAAAAAAAATGTGATCCCATCTCCAGCTCTATGAGCAAAGGCCAAAATGCTAAACCCAGACTCTACCCTCACCCAGCAGGGACGTAGAAACTAAACAGTGTGCCTGCCTTTGAGTTCAATTTGTCTATTAGACCTCCTAGTACATTCTTCTATCACTTATTTGGCCAAGGTGATAAAATACTCCCTAAGTTAGTTTACTCTTTTTTCCACATAGTATAAAAAGGAGAGAGGTCCTTTTTGGTACTGAAGTAAAATCACCTAAAAAATGTTTTCCTGAGACGTACTGTTTCCAGTAAAAGGAAAGTATTTTTAAGTTGAATATTAGTTTTGAAAACTCAAGTTGTTACTCTTAGATTACCACTATTAATAGTAAAAGCAATAAGACAACAATGATAATGTCACTAGGCGTTTACATTGGTTTTCACTATGGAAAGCTCAAAATGTTGTATACCAGGTGTTAGATGGTCTCTCAGGTATGTTATTGTTCCCATTAACAGATTGAGAAACCGAATTTGCAAAGGTATCTGTCTCACTAACGGGCCCAGAATAAGTCACTCAATGTAGAGAGAAGAAAACACAAAGTTCCAGTAATCAGTACTGAACCTTCCAATAAGCACCCTAATTCCAAGTATGGAGCTATAAATGTGGCTGTACACAATGTAATTAGCCCTTGGGCAGCAGGATGCATTATATTAGTGAATTCATTCATTCATTCAGGAGTATTAATTGAGCCCACATTACATGCCAAGTATTGCTCTAGGCACTGGAAAGTTCCCAATCTCATGGAGCTTACACTCTGGTGAGGGTAAAAGAACAAATAAACAAATCAAAATAAAATAACAATTGTTATGAGGAGGGGGGGAAAAAGCAAAGAAAGGGGGCTAGGGAATGCTGAGCATGTACACAGGTTCTTATTTTCTATAGCATAGTCAAAGAAAGCTTCCACAAGAAGGTAGCATTTGAGCAACTTTCTAAAGGAAACTAGGGTTCACTGAGAGTTGTTAAAAAGTATAATTTTCAAAAAGTTAAAATGTGACTCATATAAATATAAATGAAACACATCAAAGACTTATACTACTCTTTATTAATAAAAGAATCATTTATGTTAACAGAAGGAATCAGATGTTAAGACTGGTTCAAAGAACATTTGAATAGGCATACGAATAGAAATTTTAAATAATGGAGTGTTAGACCAAGCAAGAGTGCTAGATGGAGATAATGTCTAATGAATGTCCTACAGGGCAATAAACACTATTCTTTGAATTCTAACAGAAAGATATTATTTGCACCTCTTCTGTGAAAAAAATTAATTAACGTGTAATGTCAATACAACTGAGACTTTTAATCAATAGTAACAGTGAGTCACATTCACAGTGAGTACTACATTCTTTTAAATAATCCTTGAGTAGGTCTAGTAAGTAATGCCTTCATAGGACACTGAAAGAACATACTGCTCACCATTTTCCTTGTTTTCAAGTTTTACATTTTTTAAACAAAGCCATGCAGATATCTGCAGGAAGAGCATTCCAGTCAGAGAAACTGAATGAATCACAAACTGTTTCCCTCCACTCACCACTCCAACAGGCAAGGAATGCCCTCAGTAACACAGACTCACACATTTACCTGGACCTTATTATGAATTCAGTGTAAGTAAATAGCTGGGGGCGAACTGGAAAAGTTGGAGAAGCCAGAAGATTTACACTGAAAGGAGAATGACAGTTGAGGTTGGGAAATGATTTGACTCACATTTTTTAAAAACACTACTCCACCTGATGAAATAAAGACTCATTAAGGGAGAAGAGCACGGGTAGAAGCTAGAAGGCCACTGAGGAGACTATTAAAACAATCTAGGCAAATAAACACGTAAATACATAGTTTGTCAGATGTGAAAAGTGCTATGGAGAAAAATAAAGCAGAATGTGGGAAGGCTGGTAGGGGATGTCAGCATTGTTTGGAAAGGTCTCCCTTGATAAGGTGATTATGTGCGCGGAGACCTGAATGATATAAAAAAGTAAACAATGCAGAAAATTGAGGGACGAGTGCTCTAGACATAGGGATAAAGCAAAACGATTGAAGAGAAAGAATCAGGTAAAAGACAGGGAGGAGGGACACAAAAAAATGGAGGGCCTTGCAAACCATTTTAAGGACTTACTTGACTTAGTTTGGGTGAAGTGAGAAGCCATTGAAGGTTTCCAAGCAAAGAAATGACATGAGCAGCTTTAACTATTAAACAGATCACAGTGGCTGTCATGTGGAGAATGGTCTGTAAGTGGGCAATGACAGAAGCAAAAAAGATTAGAATAGAAGATACTTCAGTATTCCAAGGGAGAAATAAGGATGGCCTAGAATAGGTTGGCAGCAGTGACCGTAATGACAAACAGTCAAAACCTGGATATTCTGAAGGTAGAGCCAACAGGTTTTGCTTAAGGAACAGACACGGGGTAAGCACAAAAAGGAATAAATGTGGGTTTCAGCTTTAGCAACTGGAAAGACAGAACTGCTATTTCCTGGGATGGGGAAGACTGCAGAAGAAACAAGTTTGTTAAGGAAATGTGAGGAGAAGACGAGGTGACATTGATTACAAACAATTTATGAAAAAGGTTAAATATCTCAGTTTGGTGTTTATACGATTCTAAGCTCTTTTCAAATGTAATCACAATAAGAAAAATTGGAATGTCTAATTTCCAAATTGAGAAAATCATCAGAAACAGAATATTTTTCGCCAGGCTGAGTCTGAATCAGCTAACCAGCATGGCCTCTCAGGGATTCGTGCTCCTCAAAATGGCATTTTATCATTAATTTCACACATGTTAGTCAGTATTTTACATATTTAAGCAAGTATCTGATGCTTCGTTCATAAAGTTTTCATTGAGCACTTTTTGAAGTTATATTACATGCTTCATCAAAAGGCCTACATACTAAATTTATAATTCACTGTTTTTACCTGAAGTTCTTTGTATCTATCTTGAAAAGAAATGGCCTCTTGCTCTTTTTCTTTAAGGAAATCTTTTTCCAAGACACTATGTTTTTCCATCAATGATTCCACATCCTAAAAGAAAAAAATCCGAGCATAAATTTTGTAATATTTAAAGGCATAAAATATATTCAGTTTTTTCAATGAACATATTTAGAAAATATTTGGTAAGGAAAGAACCCACCGGAAGTACGGTTTTCAAAGTTCAACAATATTATAAAACGTAAGCTTCACTCTCATTCCCAGACCAATATCAAACACTGATATAACACTAACACTGCTGTAACACTAAAATTATTCATGCTAATAAATAAATAAAAGCATCTAAACTAATTATAAACAACACTCTACCTCTACCTATACTTTCTATAAATTTGCTAAGGTCTTTTTATAGAGATATTTGTAGGAAACAGAAATGAGAACACATAAATAATTTACTAAAATAGCTGTATTTCTAAGTAATCTTGTCAAATATCCCATCATGTCTGACTTCTCATAGGGACAAATGAATATTACAGATCTTCTAACGTACATAAGAAATACAACACTACCTGCTTTCAAAGTAAATAAAAATAAACCAGAAGGAAAGCATTCATTAGCGAAAAAAAAAAATCTAGTAAAAGATGTTCATATCTTTAAAAGTACACCTTTGAAACTACAAATTTCTTATCAAAGACTTTCGTAAGAGATAAGCTTGTATGACTAATTTAAACCTACAGCCAAAGAGCATAACAGCTTTTCCACTGCTGAATTTTTAATCAGAAGTTGGGATTATACCATATTTCTAGTATCTGCAATTCAAACATTTATTTTTTAGGCAAATGTAAATATACCTTTTTAATTCTCTGTTTTTCTTCTTCAGATACTTTGAGTTTCATCTCCAGACTTGAAATTTTCTTCTGAAGCTGTATGTTTGATACATTGGCTCCAGGATCCTCAGAATCATCCACAAGAGCAATTGTTCCATTACTTTTCTCCTCAGTTAAACCCAACGGAAAAAGTGAGATATCCAGATGAGTGTGTGCTGATTGCTGAATCTAACCACATTAAAAAACAAACAAACAAACAAACAAAAAACACAAGAGGGGAAAGTTTACACTGCACCAAGAAGGAAAAGATCCAAAGGGCACCAGACACCACATTTGGAAATTAAGTTGTAGCAAAGGTTCCGAAATTATTTCACCCTTTAAGTAAATCAACAGAAGACCTCAAACTATTACAACAACCTGATCTTTGCAATAAGAAACAAAATTTTCTGTAAACTTCAGAGTTTAAAGCATTTATTATTTTCCAAGCAAAGCATTAAAAACTTAAAACTTCTTCTTGAGAGTGTATATTAAGTATAAATACATCTGATACCAGTTCTTGAATTTACACACACTCAGAATTTGTTTATATACTAAGTTATAAATCAGATTTTAAAATTTATCAATAACCACTAATTGATCATCACTTTCTAGTAAAGATAACGGGTGACTCAAAATTGTATACAGCACTTTGGAAATCTGGAATAACTCCAGCGTCTAGCACAAGGCCTGAATCGATAAATATTTGAATGAATAAATGCTATGACCGCTGTGTTTTTGGTCTTATTCTAAAATTGAAATGAACACTCTAATACTTGAAAACATATGGTAAGCTTCCCTGAAAAGAGAAATAGTTTTTTTGTAATTATTTTCCTTTTTGAAGTTCACGATCTGCAATGCAAAACTAAGTCAACTTTAATAAAACATATTTGGTTTTCAAACAGTATTTTGGTAACTAACACTGCTTAAATACCTTGCAATTGTGCCACAAAACAAACATAGTATTCAGTTTTTAGAATTCTAGATATTAACCTCAAAGTTAGAGTATCTACAGGAGGGGAAAAAAAATGGAAATCAGGAAATCTTCAATTAAATCAGTATGCAATTTTTTAAGTAGGCAAAGTTCCTATAAAAATATGCTTGTCTTTACCTGTGCTTTAGGAAAAGTTTGACTGACAATGCTGTTGTCTGCATGTGTATTCTCTGGTGATGAAATGATGGGCTCAGAAGAGAGGCAGCCAACTGAAGGAGAAGTGTGGTCATGGTCCAATACAATCTCAGGAGAGGCTGGAGAAAGATGGACTCCAGATACTAAAGGAAAACAAACAAAACAAAACAAGGATCATTAAAGGGAAAATAAAGAACAGGTTGAAGGGAAGAAAGGGAGTAGAGGGCGGGAAAGAAAAAGGGGTAAGGAAAGTAAAAGCAATGAGATAGAAAATGAGGATTCTATGACTATTTTTCAGGGATTTTTATCTGAGATCTAAAACTAGTGTTTCTAAATTGAACAGGACATTTCCATGTGAGACCCAAGCAAACAAAACAACTTAATAATGTCTTAATGTCTACATACTAACACATTACCATAAGAGGTGCATTTGCAACTCAGAGACATTATTCAAATATATTATTTACCTATTCAATTAGTTAAGAAAAAGCACTAGCATGCCTACCAGTGCCAAACACAGGCACTAGGTACTGAGGAGACAGCAATGAGCAGGACACGCATCCATGTACTCAGTGACCTTATGACCCAGGAGGGAAGTCAAATGAAATACTTATGACAATAAAGCGAGCTAAGGGGAAGAACAATGACGTTAAAATAGCTAATCCACTGTCTCTGTGTTAATTTCTTCTTTTACAACAGCAAAAGATTTTTCATGTTAAAGTCAATTTTAGTTGTTTCCACATAAAAATAATGTTGAAATGCAACTCTGTAATTAGTTTCACAACAAAATATTATTAGATTGTGACTAGGGTTCAAATACAAAGGTCACAAAAGGAAAGCCAATTCCAAACATGAAATAAGACAAAAATATTGATGATGGCAAAATAAACAGATATTACTTTATTTTCAAACGTTCTTTCTAAAAATTCAAATGCATTTGTATTGTGTGTTTTAAAGTTTAAGAAGAGTAACTAAATCATTTTTAACAGTAATTCATTTATACGTTTTGACTTTCTAAATTATAAAGACCTTTATTCCACATTGGCATCAGTAGCAACGTCAGTGAAGTTCTACCATAAATTCTGGAAGGCAGCTCACAATGGAAATTGCATTTTTCCCTAAAGAAAGACATTTATAAGGTCATGAGGTATTAACAAACTAAGGAATGTATCAATTTTTTATTGGTACCATATAGGATTATTTAATTATCTTATATACACTTTCATTGTGTAGCAGTACTGTGTTTTTCAAATACTATGTGCCATACTGGATAAGGTATTGTAGCTTCTCCCACAAGCATTTCACTATTTTAACTAAAATACAGAAAACGGGAATTTCAACCCGTGTTTGTACTTTACATATCTTTTTCAGAAATTTTTGCTAATCTTCACTATTCTATATGCTAACAGATTTCCCTAAAATGTCAAAATATTCTAATTCTAAATTACAATTATACTAAAAATATTACTAATTAGTTTTTAAAGTACTATAGTATAGTGAAGAGGAATACAGCCTTATGATTAGAGCACAGACTCTGAAATCATATTGCCAAAGCAAGTGTACAACATCTGGCAAGTTTACTTAACTTCCTTCAGTTTCCTCATCTGTAAAACTAGCATAGAGGTGCTGATGAGGTTTTAAATGACTAAAATATGTAAAGCTTTTAGCATTGTGCTGAAATTATTTTCATCATTATTTCGAAGATTGTTAAAATTTGTTGGACAAGTATGTTTTACTTCCAGGCATAAAGGGTATGTGTGACTATGATCCTATGTTCAAGAAACCCTTAAAAATATCATTCTGATCCACCACCTGAACATTTTAACATCTCTTTATGTTATTCACATTTATAGCCATAATCTAAGACAAGATGTCATGTTGTCATGAGTTAAACTCTCATTCTGTAACATTACATGTTCAAGTATGCCATATTAAGAAAAGAAAGAGGGAAAGAGGCTAGAATAAAGGAAGGAAGGGAGAGAAAGGAAAGAAAAGAGATAAATAAGGGGAAGGCAAAGGGAGAGGCTGAGGGAGGAAAGTAGGGAGTGGGAAGAGGCCCCCTCACCCTCACACTTCCCACTAGTTACCACTATCATACTTTCCCTTCTTAACCAGATTTCTTGTCTCCATTTGCTTCTTCCTCACCCAACCCTCATCATGCCACTAGACCCACTTTTTATGATATTAATTTTCCTTTCAGGTATTATTAAGTCAAATGAACACTTCTTATTTTATCTTCCTTTAGTTCTCCAGAGCACATAATACTAATGACTCTCCCTTTTCCCTGAAACTCTTCCCTTGGCACCTGTAAGCCACTATATCTTAAATTCCTCCTAACATTTTAACTTTTTTTTTCTTGTTTCCTTTTCAGGCTCTTTTCCACTCAGTCTTAATTTCATTGTTTCCTACACCCTCTGATCTTCTCAGTGTTCACATTAGTCTTACCACTTTCAGAACCCATTATTTAAATTATCACCTATAAGCTAATGACACCAAAATTCACATTTCTAGCACAAACCACTCTACAGACCTCCAGATCCATATGCTCACCTAACTACCAGACAGTCCATCTAGCTGTCTCGTACATTCCTCAGACTTACCCATCATCTTACATAAACCTGCTTTGCTTCATGTTAATGGTATCTCAATGAACTATTTGCCCAAGCCAGAAATGATACCACCAAGTGCCAGCCTCACTCCAGTCACACTGTGCTACTTACAGTTCCCTGATTATGCTATACTGTTCAGTACCTCCGTGACCTCACAATATTACTGCCTAAGTAAAAGCCATAGCTGTGGAATCAGAAATGGATTCAAATTTGAACAATAACAACTTACTTGTTATGCAGCAAATTACACAAACCCCTCTAAGCCACAGTTTCCTCTAATGAAAGTGGTGAAATAATACCAACAAACTTTTCCAGGAATCTTTTCACCTACTCCGTTACCCATCCAATCACAATACAATTTTAATTTTCCACTGTCAAGATATTACAGATTTCTAAGAAATAATAATGAAAACATTACATATCTATGGGATACATTTAAAGCAGTTTAGAAAAAATCTAGATCCTTGAACACTTCAATCTAAAAAATGAATTAAATTTCCATCTCATAAACTAAAATACGAATAACACAGAAAACTTTAAAAACACATTAAAAAAATAATAAAGATAATGCAGATGTCAAAGATTAAGAAAATAAAGCAGATCTAATTAATCAAAATCCTGAATTTCTAAGAAAATCAAATAAAACAGTAATTTATTAACAATAAAAGGAGAAAAGTACAAATAGATAAATTAAGTGACAAGAGTAACATAATAATTAAAACAGAAGAATTTTTTTAATCATAAATCCTCTACAGACTTCTAAGTAAATAGGTTTAAAAAATCTAGATAAAATGGGCAATTCTCCACAGAAACACAGTTTATAAATGTTGATTGGATTAAAGCTAAAAAATTCTTTAAAAATATATAATTTCCTTGGGGAAAAAATAAAATTATGAGGCAACTACCCTATAGATAAAGCATTTCAAGAGGATTTCCAACAAGAATTCGAAAAATGAATAATCCCAATGCTCTAAAATTATTACAGAGCATTGAAAATGAAGGGAACCTTCATTAGCATTACATAACATTAACATAACATTGATTGCTAAGCCTGATAAAGACAATACAAAAACAGAACAATTAAAGATTTTTAGAGTATTGCTTAAAAATAATTAGGTAAAAGTTCTAAATAAAATATTAGTAAACAAAATCTAACACCATATTGAGAACATGATATGCAATGAATGAGTCAGGTTTGTTCCAGGAATGCAAGGTTGGCTCACTATTAGGGAATTCATTAATATAACATTCCACATTAATAGACTTAAAAGAGAAAAATAGCACAACTAGCTCTAAGGCTGAAAATGCTTTTGATAAAAATCAAACACCTGTATCTGTTAAAAAAAAACACCACACTCAAAGAAATAGAAATTGATGCATTCTTTCTTAAGATAAAACATACAGATCTCACTCCTAAAGTTAATTAATGTTAATTAATTAAAATTAATATTCATGTTAATTAATGAAAAAAATCTATAGGTGTTTCCTCTAAGATCAGGAATAATATAAGGATGCCTACTATCTCCATACCACTTAACACTACACTCACTAAAGCAATGTGGTTAGACAAGAGAAATTAAATGGAAGCATAAAAATAAGAAAAGGAGGAAAACTACACCTCATGTTCCTACTAACTCAAACAATAAACACATTCAGTAAAGTAGCAGGATATTAACTTAATGAACAGAAATCCATAGCATTCATATGTAAAAACAATAACAATTTAGAAGATATAATGGTAGCAAAAATATTATTTTCCATAGCAACAAAGAAGATAAAATACTTAAGAATAAATTTAGCAAGAAACATGAGGAAACCTTTGAAACATTTCTGAAAGACTCAATGGTAGACCTGAACAAAGGTAAAGACCCTTGTAATTGGATAGGTAGGGCAACTAAACATCATAAAGATGCCAATCCTCCCTTAGTTAATTTATAGGCCTAATAAAATTCCAATAAAAGTAAATAAGCTTTTTTTATAATGGAGCTAGACAAATGGACATTAAATATCACATGGAAAAAGTAAAATGCAAAAATGTAAAAAAGAAAAAGTATAAGGAGGATACTCACCCCTCTTATTCAAATAAACTAAACTATAGTAAAACATACTACTAACCTTATTAAGATATACTGTAATAAATTATGTTAAAACAAACAATAAACCCTTTATAATTAAAACAGTGTATTTATTTGGTACAGCAATAAACACATCAGAAGAGTATACCAGAAAGTCCAGAAGTAGAGCCATGTATACGTGAAACTTAAGTATATGACAAAAGTGGTATTTCAAATTACTGAGGTAAAGATGGGTTTGTTAATAAACAGTGCCTTAACAACTGATTAGCCATTTGGAAAAATCTGAAATTAGACTCATATCTCACATTAATAACAAACCAAAAAAAAAGCTACAACTGGATTAAAAAATAAGCCATATAAGTATAAACAAAAATATGAGATCATGTAAGTACATTATCTTGGGTATAAGAAACGCCTTTCTAACTATGACTCAATTCCAGACACAGTAAAAGAAAAGAC